TCCTGATTGTCTCTGATGAAGGAGTGGAACTGAAACATCCTGTTCACACCAACTTTCACTGTCAGCTTCTTCATCTCAGAGTTTGACCTAAACACCAATTATTTGCTGACATAAAAACAGTTTCATTTTCGTCTTTTTAAAATGTTTTGTTTTGGAATTCCTTTTTCCAAAATCTAATAAAGTAACAAAATAATTAATACATAAACAAAGTTGTATTTATTCCTGATCTTCAGAGGGAGAACAGGATTTCTCCCAAACCCAAACATGGACAGAGTTCCAGCAGACAGAGACCTGATCCTGGACGGTTCTGTCTCCAGTTCTACATTTCTGTTCTTTAAGAAGCACACAGTGAGGAACTCATCAGTCTGAAACATAACATCTGGCTGTGATGAAGATGAACTCTTACAAAGTTTCTGCAATATTAAAAAATATATTTTGATCAAACTCAGTCTGAAAGTGAAACTGAAAATGAAAATAATAATAAAAACATCAGATGAATAAACATGAGCAAAAAACATAAAGAATATATTTATTTAAACATGTTTTTTCTTCGATTACATCTCTTCAAATATTCTCTTTGTCATTATAGATTGGGCCACTTCATGGTGTGAATGTTTTTATAATTCAATATTAAATTATAAAAATAATCCATCCTATTTAACACATTTATTTTGAAGCAGATTTTAAATGAATCTTGAAGTTGTTCTCATGTGTTTTATCAGTGTTAGGTGAAAGGCTCAGAAAGCAGAAGTATTTGACAGGAGGTTTTTGTCACAGTATAAATCACTGTGATACCTCCTCTCTAGTAGAATTATCCCATGTGTTACAGTGATAAACTGCAGAGTCTGCTGTATCTGCTTGCTTTATAACAAACTGGTATTCTATATTTGATGTGGCTGTAGAGGTAAATCTGTCAGATGAGAATCCTGTTCCATATTTGTCAGGAGAACTGTGACTGTGGTGAAATCTCAGAATAAACTGAGGAGTTCCACCAGGAACCTGTTTGTACCAAAGTACATAATAGTTTTCATCTTTCTGAATGTTACAGTTGAGAACAGCTTGTTGTCCTGTAGAAACTGTGTGAACAGCAGGCGTCTGGGTCAAAACTTTGGCTGCATCAACATCTGTAAGAAACACAAACACACATGAGAGAAAGAGTTGAGTTTTCCAACACAAAGCATGAAGTGAAGCAGACGAGCGTCTTACATGTCAGAGCCGTGATGACAGCACAGAGGCTCCACAGCATGTTGTCAGTTTGGCCTGGAAATGTTTCTTCTGATGCAGCTGAGGAGGGAAACTGTTCAAGTGACAGAAGAAGACAAACTGAGGCTTATAAAGAGTCTGAGGAGATCAATAAAAAGAGGAGGAGATTTCATTTTCAACCCACAAATCAATGAGAAATTCACAAACAAATGTTGTGACAATGAATTTACANTCAAACTGTAAACTGAACATGAATTTGAACTGTCGTTATCTTTAACATGCAGTGTTAGAGTAACTGACTATTTCTCCTCTGTTTCCTCCTGAACAGATGATGAGACGACAGCTGGATGTGTGTTTGTCTCGACAACAGAGAGAAATGTTTTCTTTCAGTGACAGTGACCTGATAGTTTTTGTCAGGACTAGAACTCATCGGCTGAATGAAACTGGGAGAAACCAGTTTAAGTTAGACTGCTGCTGATGCTCGAAGCATTGAGACCCTCAGGTGGTCGAGCGAATCATCTGATGGAAAATGTAAATGTTTTACCGCAAAAGCGAAGTTTTTCTGGACTCCCCAGCTGAGCTGCACNGGAGGAGGAGCTTTGAGGAGGAGCTCATTTAGTATGGTTCAAACAAAAAATTGACTTTTCTGGAGAAAAAACTATTCTAATTGTTATAGATGATTTTATCAGTCACATAAAAAACCACTTCGTCCAATAAAATAAGACATTGAAACATTTAAAGTATTTTGTTTGTTGCGTGCTAATAATTTATTTTAACTTTCAACAATCAGTTGGAATAATTTCACTTTTTTTTGTTTCTGACAGGAGGAGGAGTTTACGAAAACATGCATGGTTTATCTGAACCTGAGATGCTTTTTATCATCCCAGGAACATTGCAAAAATTAGACACATACTCTCATTTGAAAATGCCAAGGRCCTCATCCATGCTTTGGTGTCATCACGCATCYCRTACTGCAATGCTRTTCTCTTTGGGCTTCCACAGAGACYTTTTAAAMGCCTGCWGATGGTTCTTAATGCAGCTGCTRYTATCCTAACTAAAACAGGGAAATATGACCATTTCACCATGTCACTCCAGTGCTGTCATATCTCCACTGGCTGCCCTGCCATGTTTYTGCAGATTTCAAAGTGTTGRTTCTCACCTATAAGGCCTTACATGGTCTAGCACCTCTCTARCTTTTKGACCTTCTCCACCCTCATATTCCGTCTCYTGCTCTCCGATCTCAGGGCACTGGTCTGTTGGTAATCCCTAAAGTCAGACGAAAAACTARCGGAYGTCGTGCMTTTTTCATTGTYGAAAGATCTCCCTCAAGACATCAGGATGGCCTMCTCTGTGGAAGTTTTTAAASCTAAGCTYAAGACCCACCTGTACACTTTTTCTTATGTGTCTTAAAGGGATCCCTGATTAGTTGTAACATTAGACTTTATTTGATAAACATATATTTTAACTGTGAAATAAAGACTGTAAAAATACTGTAGGACGTTTAGTTTTTCAAAATTTTAAACTATAAGTTTAAAAATATATTTTAACACGGACGGAGCCATTTTATTTACACGCAAAGCATTCTGGGTAAATGATG